TTTTATTTTTTTTTTAAAATAATGTTTTTAAAATTTTTTTTTTTATTATAAAAAAATGTTATTAAATGGCCATTGTTTTTTTTTTTTTTTTTTTTTTTGCTTTTAAAAAAATTTAAAAAAATTACATATTGATCTCAGTTCAAAGGAAAAAATAAAACTTGTTTCTAAATTAATTTCAAAAAAGAGTGGGTTCTTTTCCAAACAAATACATCCTGCCTAATATTGTGTCTAGATTAGATCTTTTGCTTTAACTTTGGAAACTGAGATTTTTTTTCATATTACTGTAAACCTAATGGGTTTTGATAAATTTACTCTGCACTACGGAATTTCTAATAATATTAATAATTTAAAAAAATACTTAGACCTACTCCCAGAGCTACTCATAGGAGCTAAAAACTAATTTATTTTAGTTCTTAAATATGCATATTCTTTATGTTGATTTATTAATTAAATTTTTGCTACAGGGTATTTTACAGCATTTATTTATTTATTTATTTTTTCTTGAATTTTATAATTGAGGGCCATTTTTTATTTTTTGATTCAATTCTTGCTTATACAGTATTTAAATATTTGAAGATTAAAAAAAAAATATATCATTTCTATTACCATTGGGGCCATTTTTACCTACCTGTCAAATGGGGCCATTTTTTCCGGGGCCATTTTTTCGGGGGCCATTTTTTCCGGGGCCATTTTGTCTGGAGTCATTTTTTCCTGGGCCATTCTTACCTACATTCGTTATGGTGGTAGAACAAGTCTTTTCGGATAAGGATTATATACCTTAGTCCCAGTGTACACATTAGCTCGTTTGCACTTTAAAGAACCCAGTACATCATTCGAGACAAGTAGTGGGTTACCCCGGTGTGCTGGTCCGCACAGCCCCCGTGGTGCAGACGGAATTAGCTGGTAACGATTTTTCCGGGACACAAAGAGAGAGAGAGAGAGACCCTTATGGATGCAGGAAGTTACTGAACGAAATATGTCCACGAATCAAGCGTTGGTTTGGCGGATACCGGCGCTAAACAAATGTCCACTACATTACTATTATTATATATTGCGCAGAAGTATTACAACGTACCCGTCTTAAAGTACTCCTAGGATACATACCGTTTTGAGAGGGTCCATAGACTTTCGTTTCTTAAAAGATCAAACATATCTGTAGACTGGCATTTATAATTGGCTTATAGATTGTACATTGTATATTGATATTAAAAATATTACTGATTTAGGTAGGCCTATAATAGACGTGGCTCTGTTATCTCATCCCTGCGGTGTCGGGTGGGGGAAGAAGGTGGTTGGGGTTGAGGTGAGAAAATTTGAGGAAATAGTACCTGTAGATGGCCGGAAATCACACTTTCAAGTAGTAAAATTCATTATCATCACATCACCATTACATAGTCAAAATGAAACGCCAACACATTTCTCATGTACTTTATCAGAGATCTACTTGATATCCAGGACAACTTGACATAACTATAATTTAATATAAAAGCTTATAACTATCATCAACAAATTTTTTCGCCTTTAGCACAATTTCCTTCACATTTTAATATTATTAAGATTACTATCAATTATCATCATCATCACCATTATTATTATTATTATTATTATTATTATTATTATTATTATTATTATTATTATTATTACTATTATTATTATTATTATTATCATTACTAATAGTATAGTATTATTAAACAATAGGCCCTACTTTAGAGAAGCTTGCAAAAGGATAAAAACCAAAATGAGCCATACAGTATCACATTTCTGTATCTTAAAAGATTTGGCCTGGGATTTATGGATTATTAAAAATCACGCTTAGACGTGTGATCAGTACTTCTAAAATACCTGTGTAAAACGAGTACTGATGCAATTTTACGTATTTTAGAAGTATTCATTTTGAGTGGTCCCAGGAAATTATTTGTATTGGCTCAAAAAAAAAGCTTTAAAAATTTTACACTGTGTACAAAGGGGATACGTCCCTGACTCTGAAACTTTTTAACTGATGAGACGACTAATAGACCCCTATATAATTTTTAAAAAAGTAATACCAAGACCCTCCCCTACGGACCATTGATCTTCAATTAACGTTTTGCTCCTCTAACAAACAATATCATGTACCCTACTGGGCGAGGCGCTACCGCTGGACTATTTTCCACAATACGAAAATATACTTTAAGTAGGTGTAGGCCTAATGGATCGGAGATAACCAATAGCACATATTGTAAATAATGTTTTTTTTCTTTCATATTACAGTAATTCATTATTATACTTTTTGTGTCTACTGGCCGCTTATCTCTATACCTTGTAAGAGTAAATACGAATGCAGTTCAAAAGCTAATTGTAAAAATGATCAGTGTACTTATGAATATATGAAGTATAAATAACGTACTTGCGCGAATAAGTGCCCCGTTTAGATAAGCGCCAATCAATAATCCAATCAAACCTGGGACAGTGGATGTTGGCATGATTTGAGGTGTGGAGTGGAATCACATTCCCCTTTGTCAATATGATGAGGATATTTATCTTGGACAGATGAGAGCTTCCTGGACAGACAGTACATTTCCAACTTTCATCTTCTTACATTTGTCAATAGCCTAGTCCTACTCCTTTTCCGACAATTTGCACCTTTAACACATTCTCATCTGAGTTTTCAAGAAACCTGCAATGATCATGCCGTCCTGCTAATCTCAAACGGCCGACGGCCAACAAACTATAAAACCACCACTACTAATTTCATCTGCTGTTATGTAATACTGTAATCACAACATTCTTGTCATGACAAGCCATGCCCTCTGGACGATTATCTTTACCGCCGCACAACCATTCGTAATTTGCGGTTTCCTGATGTCCTTATATAATCGTCTTTCATTCAAAATGTGCCTCTTAAATTTAATAAGTTCTCATAAGAACCCCTCGATTTTCATCTATTTCCATTAGCGCCCCCTCAATTTCCACTAATATAATAAGCGCCCCACAAAAAGTGCAAACAATATTTTAAGCGCCCGGGCGCTTATTCGCGCGAGTACGGTAGCTGTTTTATAACGTATCGCTCAGCTATTCAATAACCCTACCTACACCCCTCTGCTGACAGCCATGCAAGCATGACTTTCTTATCAGAAACGCAATATTATTTTTTTAAGTTATCACTGAAGAGTTTGAATTATTATAACTGACTTATAATAAATAATAATTACTGTACATTTTACGAGAATTTTCATTAAAAGGTAAACTTAGGTAAATGTTTTGCATACTGGTACACAGGCCATCAGTGGCGCCAGTGGGATCCCTCGGGAAGAATTGTTGTTCCCTGGCCCCTCTGCTGAGAGCATATATACAATTCGTTGGAGAGTAAAAACTAAATCCTTACAGACCATGTCAGAGCTTCAAGGGGATTCGCCCAAGAACAAGAAAATTGAGTCCATCCAAAAGAGAGCCATTATAATTATCTTGGGTTTTAAAAGATTTGATCAGGATTTTGACTATGAAAGATCACTAATAAATTGCAATCTTACTACACTTGAAAATCGTAGATATGATCTATGTTCACAAATAAATGCTCAAAAGATGTAAGGTACAGCCACTGGTTTACGCCAAACAAATCCACTCACCGTATGTCACTACGTAATCATCGAATGTATAACGAAATCAAGCCCAATTTTGAAAGGTTCAGATCTAGTACTGTTCCCTTTATGGTAAAACTTAAACAAACAATGATGAATTGATTTGATCAAGGATAACTTGTATTTTTTTTCCCCACTTTTTTACTGCCTGTTTTAATCTCCTCTTACCCAAATTTTTAAATTTTTGAAAGAATAATGAAAATTAATATGGCAATTTATAATTGTTGCTGAGATTATTTTAATTTTTTTTTTAATTTTATAGTTATCTTTTTTTCTGCTTTTTTAATGTGTTTTATCTGTGTTTTTAAAACTTTGTGGTGCTGTGTGTTGTTTAATTTTTTCTCCTCTGTACTTTTTAATAACAATTTTATCTGTATATATTGTAAACTTTTCGCAATTCGGTATTTTATTACCAGTTGAAGTTAATAAAGAAATCTGAATCTGAATCTGAAATCTGAATCTAGACCACGCGATGGATGTTTACAAGCGGTCCAGTTAGTTCACCCACTACGCTCGCATCGGGGACATCCCCACCCCGTAACATCGTTGATGATTCGCTATCACCAGTGAAAAGTTACTTTAACTAATGACGGAGGAAGCACAAACAAAATACCCCCTTCAAGCTTCTTTGTTTTTATATTTAAATTTAGGATTTTTTAGCATCATGGAGGTCAACAATGGGATGTCAGTGTTTGTCCAGGGAGCTGCCGAAGAACCGCAAACTTTCACAATTCGCCAACCCGTTAAAAAGAAAACTGTCAAAACCACTGCTATTCTACAAATTGTTTTTGGTTCCCTGTGCCTATTTTGGGGGATTTGGACAGGAATCATTTATTTAGATTTTTCTTTAACCTATTTTAGTGCATGGGTAAGTATGATTCAACAGCCATATCATAAAGCTAATATTTTTATAATGGTAGAGCCCGGGGACTTAGCAACGAACTTACATTTTTTATTAAATTAAATTTATTTTGTTTTAAATAGTTGAACACGGAACACTTTTACGAACGTCTAAATGATATAAATATGATAAAATAAAATATGAACTTTAAAATGTTTAATGAATTTTATTAGGTTTATAAATACATGTTTTACACATTTCTAAACTACTTTAACATGCTTAGTCACATTTTTTTGTTCCTGATAATTATAATTTTCAATCATATAATAATAAACATAAAACTAGGGGTTTGTTGATTATTAAAAATTTGTTTAATTTAATTTTTCAAATTGAAGCTGTATATTCCTTCAGGAGCAGTTGGTCTACGGGCGGCCTCCAAAAATAACATATGCGCAGTAAGTTAATTTTTTGTTCTGTTGACGCATAGACCAGCTATAATGATTTAATATATAAACATATAGGATTGGTTTTGAGGCCATTTGCCTTATTTTTCTTATTTTATGATTTGTCGAATTCAAGGTCTGAAACCAACTTATTCCTTCATGATTGGAGTGAGGTCGGTCTTCATAACCAAAGAATACAAACATTTGGCACAGTGGGAACGGTTTGATTTCCAGGTCGGAAATCCCGCGCTGTGCATTTCGCTTGTGTCCATGAGCAAGGCACGTTATCTACATTTCTTAAACATCAACTTAAGCATGCGGACCCATTGACCAGGGACAACAAAGCGCTTTTTAACCTAACGAAATAGGCGCTATATAAATACAAAAATAACAAATAACAAATGACAAAATATATAGGCTACTATTTTGCATAGGTACAGTACTATATGTTTTTTGAATAATTTAACTTGTTTTCAAACATTAATAAAAGAAAGTGTCTTAATCAATTTTTGGGGTCTTAATAGGTGGTGGCTTATCAGACGATGTCCTTATTCGCTTGTATCGCCTCTTCTTCTCAGTCATTAACTTTTCTCATCCGATGCTTCTTACCTAGAAGGATACCGGTATGTATTGAAGTCATATACTCGATTATGATAGTTAACAACATATATTTCTACTCACGTGACCTACTCATCACGTAACGCAATTTTATTTATTTTATTTTTATTTATTTCTCATTTACGCTGTGTAACCTCATCGGGGCAATACGCATTGCTATCCTCTAGCGTTGGTATGTGTGGGATGACGTATTTGTGAGGTTTTGAGCTCTTCAACATGGCGTGGGTCACTTCACTAAACCAGCCAATAAGCAGAGTAGAGATCAGTTTAGGGTTGAGTCATATTTTATAACACTAGCAGATTTAAGTTATACCAAACAGGTCGGTGCGCTCATGTTTGATACTATATTAAATACATATTTCACCAATCGCAGATATTTTATTGATTACTTTGGCATTAAAACACAGATTAAATATATACAGAAATGTAAATTGATGTAAACAAAAATGTTTACTTTCGTTTTTTTTTTATTAAGTACGTACACAAACATACTGCTAATTAAGGTTAACTGTTTGTTGTTTTCTGAAAGCCTCCTTCGTGTTGACAAGTGTAACCTTTACTTAAGTAGTTAATTTGGTTTTTACTTGGGTTTTCATTTTGTGGAATTGGCATTTGTTAGAACTATGCTGACATTTTATTTTTTTCACTGAACCCTGTGTTTGCTAGGCTGAGGACACCCACAAAATACATCATTGAATCACGGTTGGTATGCTTGTTTGCACCCATTTAATCGGTTTACCTAGTGGCTTGAATCATAGATAGATAAAGATGAAATTATACGTTCATTTGCTGCACGTCTGCGTGGACAAGCGTCGATCTGTAAATTTGCTATTAAATGTACTACCTGCCAGACTGACCTCTATTACTCTGATGAGATGGTGAAAGATGTGTTAATTCGTGGCATTGCCGATCAGGAAATTTAACTTGATCCCTTAGGTGAGCGTGACCAAAACATGACGTTGGAAGCTGTGATATCATATGTTGAGGCAAAGGAAGCAGGAAAACGTTCTTCAACCCGTCTTATAGATGTAAGTGCTTCAGCTAGTAGCTCATACCGTCAACAGCAAAAGCAGTTTTCGAAGGCCAATAGTGATCCCAACTGTACCTACTGTGGACATAAGGGGCATGGATCAAGGGCTTCCCCATCCATACGTAAACAGTCCTGTCCTGCCTATGGTAAGACGTGTTCGAAATGCGGTATTAAGCATCACGTTGAGTCAGTATGCCGTTCTTAATCGAAGAAGAGAGTTGCCGCATTGCATGAAGGTGATGCTAGCAGCACTACAATGTTGTGTACAACCTTTCATCATAATACTCCTAAGGTAATTACACTCGACCATCATCTATACCACGAATTAGGTGACACTTGGATTCGAAGACCTGCAGGACCACACCCATTCACTGAACTAACACTACAGGCTATCCCGGAAAATTATGAAGCACTTGGATATCGCCTTTTGCAAGCCACTCCAAAGGTCAGGGTCTCAGTTATGGTTGATACCGGGTGTCAAAGTTATTTGGCAGGTGTCGGAATACTTCGCCGGCTAGGAATGAAACACAAAGACCTTATACCAGTGTCTATGCACATGGCGTAGATACATCAGGTGATACAGTAACTACCAGGCAAATAACTTACTTGACCGACAGCTCAGATAGGTTATTCTTAAGTCGAGAGGCATGTCTGGCGCTTGACATAATCTCCAAATCCTTTCCAACAATAGGCGAGATACCAAAGCCAATAGAGTCCGTGAAGGAACATCTGTCGGTTCATGAGCTCGACACACGAGTATGCAAGTGCCCTGTCAGGGGAGCACCGCCACCCTTACCAAGGCAATTGCCTTGTGAAGCCACCAAGGAAAATCGGAAGCGCCTTGAAAATTTTCTCCTAGAATATTACGGATCCAGCACATTCAGTGTTTGTGAACATCAACCACTCCCTCTTATAAAGGTGACACCCATGAAATTGATGATTGATCCGGACGCGAAGCCTGTGGCTTATCATACACCTGTTTATGTTCCTCTTCATTGGCAAGAAGCAGTCAAAGCTGGCCTCCACAAAGATGTCAGACTTGGGGTAATTGAACCTGTTCCTGTTGGTGAACCGGTCACTTGGTGTCACCGCATAGTTGTCTGTGAAAAAAAGAATGGCAAGCCCAGATGCACAGTGGACTTGCAGTCATTGAATGCACATGCCACACGAGAAACTCATCATACGCAGTCACCGTTCCATCAAGCTCGTCTGGTGCCTGTTCACAAAAAGAAAACTGTGTTTGATGCTTGGAACGGTTACCATAGTATTCCTCATTCGAGAGGAAGATAGGCACTTTACGACGTTTATTACCCAATTTATTACCGCTACTGTACTGCACCACAAGGCTATTGCATCAGGCGATGGGTATACACGCAGGTATGATGAAATCATATTAGATTTTCCAAACAAAACTAAATGTGTTGATGATGCGCTTTTGTGGGCAGACACCCTGGAGCAGAGCTTCTTCCAGGCAGCAAAATGGCTGGATACCTGCGGCAAAAATGGTATAACGCTTAACCCATCCAAAATTGTCTTTGGGCAAGACACGGTTGAATTTGCCGGTTTCGAAATCTCGCCTAACGCTGTTCGTCCATGTCAGAAGTACTTGAATGCTATCACCGACTTTCCTACCCCATAGAACATCTCTGACAAACGGTCCTGGTTTGGTTTAGTAAACCAGGTCGCCTACGCATTTTCAGTGGCTGATCGCATGTTAACATTCTGCCAACTCCTGGAACGCCATTTAGATGGGATGACCGTTTGCAACAATTATTTGAGGAATCTAAAGTGATCATAGTCATGCGACCTACATGTCTAGCTACGGACTGGTCTAAGACTGATGTTGGTTTCTGGCTTCTTCAAAAACATTGCAAATGTTCATCTGTCGTCCCATTTTGCTGTCATACGAGCTGGAAAGTCACACTTGTTGGCAGTCGGTTTACCAGTTCAGCTGAGTCACGTTATGCTCCCATTGAAGGTGAGGCGCTGGCTGTTGCTTATGGTCTTAAGAAAGCCCGTTATTTTGTACTAGGCTGTCACGATCTCGTTGTTGTTATTGACCATAAGTCACTATTAAAGATATTTGGCGACAGATCGTTGGAAGACATCCCGAATGGTAGATTACGCAACCTAAAAGAGAAGACACTTGGTACCGATTTCGAATGGTGCACATCCCTGGAGCACGTCACCGAGCGGTGGACTCGATTTCTCGTCATTCGAGTGGTAGAGAACATGTTCTTCCAATGGAACTTATTGACGATGCAGACACTACTAATAGCTGCACTGATTCTCCATCACCAATCCTCTGTCTCTGTGCAGACGATGCTGATGTCGCATGTGAGAGCGTCGATCAACAGCTACTTGATTTCTGTGCTATGGCCCTGGATAGCTTCCAGTGCATCACCTGGGATAAAGTTAAGCTTGAGAATAATAGTGACGACACCATGGCCAACTTACTTACCATCATTGAGTTAGGAATGCATGAGTCACGTCATGACTTACCCAATTAACTGCGTGAATACTTCCCCATCCGCGATGATTTGATCTCAATTGATGGCGTTGTCATATATAAAGCCCGCATCGTTATACATCCTCGATTACGTCAAGAGGTCCTAAAGGCACTCCATGCTGCACACCAAGGGGTATCTTCAATGGTTGCACGCGCTGAATCATCAGTATTTTGGCCAGGCATTACCAGAGATATACAGGCTTATAGAGAAAGATGCAGCCATTGCAACAGAATGACACCGTCTCAACCAGCAGCTCCACCTTATCCACCCATGTATCCTACCTACGCGTTTCAATGCATATGTGCTGATTTTTTTCACCACAAGGGTAATAGCTATCTGGTCATCGTTGATAGATACTCCAATTGGCCGGTTATCGAAAGAACGTCAGATGGTGCCCATGGTCTCATTACTTCCCTCCGTCACGTATTTATGACCTTTGGTGTTTGCGATGAACTTTCTTCGGACGGAGGCCCAGAATTCACTTCAGGAAGCACTCGAGACTTCTTGAAACAATGGGGTGTCCATCACCGCTTGTCGTCAGTTGCTTTTCCGCACTCCAATTGTAGAGCAGAGGTGGGGGTCAAGACCGCTAAACTCCTGATCACCAACAACACTGGTCCACATGGTCAACCGGACACCGATGCTTTTCAACGAGCGATCCTTCAGTATAGGAATACACCTGACTCGGCAACCAAAACTTCTCCAGCCATGTGTGTCTTTGGCCGTCCGATTAAAGATATGATACCAATTCTACACGGTAAATACTTACCACACCCAACGTGGAGGAGCACTATGGCAGATCGTGAGATTGCACTACGAAACCGCCACATGCGGTCTGCTGAGTATTGGACCCAGCATACAGGTCGGCTGCCAGCCTTGGCCGTAGGTGATTCCGTTCGAATTCAAAACCAAACAGGCCCACATCCCACTGAGTGGGACAAGACAGGCACGGTGATTGGGGTGCACCAATTTGATCAATACATTGTGAGGGTCGATGGTTCTGGTAGGATAACACTACGTAACAGACACTTCCTCAGAAAGTACATCCCGGTATACCAACCAGAGCGCCGACGTATGATCACTGATGACCTCCGCTTCCTCCCTGTGAGACAGGGACCGAAACTAGGGGATGCTCCTATGATGCCAGTTCGGTGTGCACTTGATACACCGCCGGTAGATGATCAACACGCTTCCAGATCCCCAGTTTCGCCAGGATCTCCTCTAGTGCCCTTACCTAATCTGTTTACACCAACCACCCCTCCGCCACCTGTTAGCCATGTAACACCCCAGCCTGTCACATCTCCACCCATTAGCACTGACACTATGCCACGCTCAGGTGATAATGGTCCGCGACGTTCATCTCGTATTCGTCCGCCTATCCGCTATGGCATTGATACCGTTTAACCTGAACTGTATATAGCCTTTGTTGCATAAAGGCTGGGGGGGGGGGAGGTAGAGAATAATACGCATGACTGCTGTGTTCACTCTATATAGTGTGTATATGAATATTCACAGTTCGATATGACACCAGTTCTTGGTGGATTAGTTGCGTACGTATATAGCACACTTTTAGCTAATAAAGCCTGTACACTTTTGTACATTGGTTTTGACAATAAATGTACAGTATTGTTTATACTTCTCGGCCTTTTGGCTAAGATAGTATTGTATTGTTGTTGTATTCTAGTTTCCACAATGAGGAGGACAGCGTCTCTGAATTTAGGTTACGATGATAGCAAAGATGTGGGTGTGGTTTTCGCCGATCTCAGAAAGGCTGGGTTGAGGTTGGATGAGGTAGTTGCAGTTCAGCGATTGATCAATGGATCATTTGATGTATCGTTTAAGTCACCTGTCATTTGCCGTCGTGCGGCAAGTAAGTTGGTTTCGGGCCCGAACATTAGGCCATATGATAGCAGAGTGACTGTCACTGTGCTGTATCTGGAATTTGAAGTTCCAGATAGTGTTGTGAGGTGCGTGTTGTCAAGGTATGGTGAGGTTTTGGAATCACGTATGCTGTCGCATCGTGCTTTTCCAAGTGTTCTAAATGGCAACCGCCAGTATTTGATAGATCGTAAGGAAAACATCCCGTCGCAGGTGCGCATTGGTTCCAGGAATTGTTGGGATTCGTATTGGGGTCAGCCACGGACTTGCTTGCGTTGTGGAGAGGAGGGTCATATGATCCGAGAGTGTGATCGCAAGAAGTGCAATCGCTGCTTTCAATTGGGTCATGTGGCCCTAGATTGTACCAATGATATTGTCTGCTCCATTTGTAGTGCCAGTGGGCACGTGTTTCGTAATTGCCCGGTTTCCTTTAGCGCTAAAGCTAGGGGTGATAGGCAGGATGGGGTAGATGATGGTACAGAAGAGAGTCATCTTGAGGGGGCGGGGGTTCAGGGGGGATCTGTGGAGACCGTTGTGGTAGAGAAGGGTGTGGTCGTGGAGGAGGATGGTGTCGTGACGGAAGATGATGTTGTGGAGAGCGGTGCAGCTGGCTATGAGTCAGCGGAGGGTCCGGAGGTGGAAAGTGAGGTAGTCAGATGCTGAGACGGCACGGCGCAAAAAGGCCCTGAATAAATTAGAGGATTCTAAGTTAGCCAAGGAGAAAGGTTTGGTTATCAGTTGCCCGAAGGGTTGCAGTAAATGTTCTTTTTCTTCTTGGCAGGCATATGTGGATCATATGTCGAAGAAGCATGGGAAAGGGGCTGTCATGGTGGATTGTCCGGTAAGGGCGTGTCGGAAAAGGTCTTCCAGGCCTGCTGACCTTATCCCGCATTTGTCGTTGAAACACGCTGGGTATGTTCTCAGGCTTGCTTAAGTCCATTTTTTCGTAGGGTATTCAGAAAGTTTTCCTTTACTGTTGTTTTAATGGTTGTTTTTGCTTCATTAAATGTCTATGCGTTTAGAGATTCCTCCAGGAGGGCCCAGATTTTTCAGTTATGTCGAGAGAAAAAGTATGACGTGGTTTTTTTTACAAGAAGTCCATTGTTGTTCTTTTCAAGAAGGTGATTTGTGGTCTCAGGAGTTGGGTGCGAGTGCCTATTGGGGTGGGAATTCCAGCAGGAGTGGTGGGGTGGGGATTTTGTTGCGCCCGGGTTTATCACTTGGAATGGTTAGGCGCTGTCCGGGGTGGTGAAACTTGAAAGGGTGTCGGTGCAGCTTTGTTGCATTTATGCGCCAAATGATCCGGCTTGCAGGAAGGTATTTTTCAGTTCATTGGCTAGGTGGGTTTCTCCGGGTTTTCCTTGTTTGTTGGGGGGGGGGGGGGTCTAGCTTAGATACGGTTTGGGGAAATTCAGGTTTGGGTTCGATTGGCTCTGTGGAGTTGTCTGATTTTTGTAAGCTGTTTGGTCTTTCTGACAAATTTCGTTTGTTATTTCCTCAGGCTGTTGCCACGTCTTGGGCTTCAGCTGCGAAGGGGGTGGCATGCAGGTTAGATAGATTTTATGCTGCTGATTCTTTTTATGTTACAAGTTTTGTTTATACTCCATGTCATTGCTCTGATCATGATTGGGTGGTGATGTCGGTGGATATCATTGGGGGTATGGAGAGGGGAAAGGGGATGTGGAAATGCAATGTTTCCATTCTTAATGACCAGGGCTTTATTGCTGATTTCATTTCTCAGTATAGGTTATGGCAAACATTAAGGCCTGGTTTTCCGTCTGTTCTTGAGTATTGGGATGATGTCAAGAGGAGATGTAAGGAAGTTATTGTTTATCATTCAGTTAGGATTAGTAGGGAGAAGAAGAGAGAGAGAGAGAGAAAGATTAGAGGGGTTGTATGATGAAGTGAGGGTTCGTTTTAATTTATCTCATTCTACTGATTTGTTAGACTCTTTAGCAGAGATTAAGGCTAAGTTAGATCAGTTGGCGCAGGATGAGACAGAGGGAGCAAGGGTTAGAGCCAGGGTTAAATTTTTGGAGGATGGGGAGAAAAGTTCAAAATATTTCTTTGGTACGGAAAAGCGTAGGGGGTGGGGGGAGGAAAAGATTATTTGTTCTGTTAGGGATTCGCGTGGGAATATTTTTTCAGATAGTGAAGGGATTTTGAATGTTTTTTCTGGATTTTATAGGGGTCTTCTTGATGGGGGTGATGCTCTAGACGAGCAAATGCAGGATCCTTTCATTGAGTCAATTTGCCGTTTTGTGCCCGCTAGCGACATGGCATTTCTAGAAAGGAGTATTGAGGTTGAGGAGGTTCGGGAGGCTTTGCGTTCAATGGCAAAGGACAAGTCCCCAGGTTTGGATGGGTTGCCGGTAGAGTTTTATTTACAGTTTTGGGATGTTCTCTCTGTTGATCTGCTTCAAGTTTATAAGTGTGTTTTCGAGGTTGGCTCTTTATCTAACTCAATCAATTAGACCCGAAAAACCGTCGACCTATTACTTTGTTGAATGTTGATTATAAAATTTTAGCTAAGCTTTTATGTTCACGGTTGGGTAAAGTCATGGAATTTTTAGTTGGTCCATTTCAGTCATGTAGTGTGCCTGGGAGAAGGCTCCAGTCTAATTTGGTGCTGTTGAGGGATGTGGTGGAATATGCGTCTCAGTGTAGTTCGCCGTTGGCTTTAATTTCTTTTGACCAGGAGAAGGTATTTGATAGGGTTAGTTTTAGCCTTCTTTTTCGGGTTTTGGAGATGTTCGGGTTTGGGTGTAACATGATGAGGTGGTTGCGGTCCATGTACTTTAATTTACGTAGCTGTGTTATGGTTAATGGTTTTGTTTCAGATTCTTTTCCAGTGACACGTGGGGTAAGGCAGGGGTGTCCGCTTTCTCCTTTGTTATATGTGTTGTATATGGAATCATTATCAAGCTTTATTCCTGTCTCTTATACACATCTGGGTATGACATTAAACTCCTAATATAGGCCACACACGTGTGTTTGAAACTAAATATAAGCATTTTCATCGTGGTTTTATTTATTACAATCATAGGCCTATTCTTTCACCATCATTACAAATTGAGGCCCTTCTTTTAGGTAAAACGATCTATCCTTAATTTTCTTTCTCAAGTTTGGGACTATTATGTTTTTAAATAACTTAGAAGGTAAAGGAGGGCAAGCACAAGCTTTAACCTAACAAATGCGCGCAAAGCTCGCGAAAATTTTTTGTTTTTTTAATTCTAATTTCGTCGGAATTGATCAAAACTCCCTAAAATGTGCAATTTTTTTAGAGGAAATTGGCCTACCTCAACAAAATATGCGATTTAAAATTTGAGGTTTTCAGACACTTTCCCGGGTGAAAAGGGCATTCAATGGGGAAAGATTTTCCACAGATGGATATTTTCCCCTTGTCCCCGGTGGTTACGCCACTGCGGAGAATATCTTGTGGCTTAGATCAAATGCGCTATGGACACTTTTGAAGTGGAGAAGGGGTTGCAGGCCGGGGTATTGTGATATCTGTTCATTATATCTTCCTTTTTATTCTTGTCTTTATTTTTCTCTTCTCTTTTTCTTTTCCTTTTTCCTTTCTTTTTCGTTCCCCTTCTTTCTCTTTCCCTCCCTCTCCCCTCTTTCTTTTCTCTTCTTACAGCCCGGTACGACGGCTTGGTCAGCCCGGTAAAAACCGTCAGGGGGGACAGTCTGCCCACCTGCCCCCGCCTGTTACGCCACTGCTTATAAGATGAATGGGAATATGAATCATGCAGATCTGGAATCAAATCTAGGTGGTGGGGTCAACATTCCTCCCCCCCGGAAAATTTCTAGATGACGGGAAATGAGCTTTCCCGACTTCTGACGTGTCTTTAATTACTATTAAGTTCTTCAAAATTCAAGGTTTTCCCATCTTGAAAACGGTCAGGTAATTTTTTCCCATTGTTATTACAGTAAATAGGGCTTATGTGTGTATACATACATAACAATTTAAAAAAAAATGAGTAGTTGCATACGAATTTTCCATGAATCGATGAATCCCAAAAAGAAGGGGTGTCCGGGGGTTCTTCCACAGGAAAATGTTGATTCCTAGAAGGCGGGAAAAGAGCTTTCCCGACTTCTGAGGTGTCTTTTAAATTAAAGTCATTAGAAAATACTTCAAAAGTCGGGAAATCTCATTGTCCACCATTTAGAAATCAACATTTTCCCGGGAAGAACTCGAACCTCCCTTTCTCTGGGTTCATTGATTCATTATAATAATTTTCAAGAGGGGAACACCTTGAGTTTTGAAGAACATGTGGACTTCCACATAAACAAATCCAACGGCTTGAACTTGTTCAAAATGCTGCTGCACGTGTAGTTAGCAAGTCATCCAAGTACTCACATATAACAAATACTCCGAAATCATTACATTGGCTTCCGGTACAACACCACATTGTTTTAAAAATATTATTAATTGTTTTTAAATGTATAAATGGTTTGGCTCCTGACTATGTTGCTGACATGATTCGGCCTTATATTCCTGGGCGAAACTTGCGCTCTTG